GAGAGAGAGGGAGAGAGAGTGTGTTGCTTGTGCATTGCCTGTGTGAGTGTGTCTATGAGTGTGAGAGAGACAGGAACAGAGAGTGAGAATGACAGAGCATTGTGTCTCTGTGTGTGTCTAAAGCTCTGCTGTGTTTTAGATTTCTCCCTGGAAAATATGAAATAGGGCTACAGCTACTGTGTCCTTCGAGGTTAAACAAAAAGTTGTATTGATGGATACACACACATAGGGCACAGTGGGCCTCACCAAAATGCTCCAAAATTGAAAAAAATTTGGTTTATTTATTCTTTTTCTCTCTTTGCTACTCTGTAATATTGCATATAAAGTAGTGACTCTCCTTCAGCAAGCCACTTGCCACAGACTATGAGAGGACTGTCATGACACAAGCCAGCTCACAGGTCTGAATGCATGTTACAAAACAAGTGTTACCATCTTCCAAGAACATTACATAGAACAAAGAGAAATAATGGTCATTTTTTACAGTCATATCCTCTAAATGTAGCTTACAGTACTTACCATACTGAGCACCTGGTATGATGAAAACCTGAAACTTTGTTGGATCTGTCGGGCTTGGATCAAGTTTGAGCCATTTTGTTGTGCATACCTTCAGGCTTTGGTTGAGATCAGGTTGGGTTGTTTCAAATGTTTTTAATTAGGGAGTCTGTTTCTCCCTCTGTGGATCTCCCTCTCTTTCACTCTGACTGCGCCAATAGAAAAGAGAAGCTTCCAACTGCTTTTACAGCCAGTAGTGGATGAAATAAATGAAAAGAATGGATAAAGAGGAGCCAAAAGTAGGTCTGTGCACTTTAGGAGTAGTTGTCTTTTAGTTGTAATTCTGCTGTATTATGTTATATTCCTTGTTAGAGGGATGTCTTGTTAAGTAATTTGTTACTAAGCTAATGGTGGGCTGAGAGTTTAATAACATTTTGTTGTTCCTAGATTAGTTAACTAACGTTTTAATCGTAAAATAGCCTTCCATGGGACCAAATATAATATGATGTCAGGTTAGGCTTGATAAGAGACAGAGCGAGCGACACAGATGGGTAGAGACAGATGAAAGAAAAGCAAGCATGATGGAGGGATCTGTAAGAGGTCAAGGGGAGCTGACACCCATCAGTTTTCTCTCCTTAATCTATCTGTGTATAACATTGCTCACCCCATCTCCCTACACACACACACACACACACACACACACACAGACACACCAGATATCACAAACCCCCAGCAATTGGCTTTGTCATGACCTTTAACCCCTATATATCTCTGTGTGTGTGAACATGTCTGTAACACTTTGCTATGAAATGAGGACTCAAAAATCAATTTACAGCTGCTTACCCTTTTTCTAAATCATGTTTTACTAGCTGCTGAACGTGTGTGTGGCCGTTAGAGAGAGTGTGTCAGTGACAAGAAAATACTGTATCTAAATTATTTTCAGATCGCCTTTCTTGTCGCTGTGAAACAGTCAAACTCTGTGTTTGTTGAATGCTTATCTGCAAAATTCCACCCAGGAGACCTTTTGTGTATCACTTAGTCAGAATATTTCACTGCTATCTTGACCATGGGAAATGTACTGTCACATTCCAGATAGTGGTTTTATTTATGAACCGCTGTGGGTATTTTGCTGTATGCAACAGCCTAAAGCACCACAAACACAGCATTTTACTGCAGTGCCTAAACATTTCATTTTATTTCTACTCTTTAATCATTCATTCATTCTGAATCTGACCACAATCCTCATTACGACCTTAAGTGTGACACAGCTGGCTTGGGTGTAAAAGAAGGAGATGGATCTGATTCACAGTAGCAGCAGATCAAATCAGGATGTCTGACAGGCAGAGAGGTAAAGCAGGTATGACAGTCTACAAAGTTGTGAGGGCATGATGTGCAGCTGAAATCCAAGTTGTCAAAGTGACAGACAAATTTCTGTATGTAAGAATCAGAATAGGGGGGTATTAAAATTCTAATTTAAAAGTCTTTTTTTATAAAGTTGCAGTAGTTTCCCAAGTAGAAAATGTTAACTGAATCTGAAAGTGCTTATCTCGAAACAGATTCTTGTGATTGTGACTGATAGACCTTTATAATGATTTTAAGATTGACACACAGAGGCTTTAGAAGTGCTGATAGACATATTTCTTACCTTTGGACAAAGCACAGTTAACTTCCCCCCAGGTTTGTTTTCAGTCTTTATGCTAAGCTAACCTAAGCTAACCATCTCCTTTTATTACTGAAAAATAGATATGAGCCTGCATCCAAAACATCTTGAGCAATGCTATTGGTCTGTACTGATGCCTAAACATAACATTATTTAAACACACTGACCAACAGAGAAAGGCAGAGGCACATAAACACACTTCCACAGGCTTTTTGGAGAGAGCATAAAATAGACTGGCTTCTATCCATTAAGCTGTAAAATGTGCCATTATTTTTGGATGGGATGATTTGACTCCCTGTTTCTCTCTCACAACCACTTACACAAACACAAACACACACACATATGCACACATATATAGTGTGATTTCAGCTTTTGCACCTTCTTAACAGTCCTGAAGGCACTCATCATTATTACTTCCATCACCAACATCCTCACTATCATCTTCTTCATCCTCCTGGTCATTATTATCATCATAATCACATTTTTAGAAGTAGAAGTAGATGCTTTGTATGAATGTAATATATTTTTATAGCTCCAGGGATTGTGACAAAGGCACAAAGACACTCAGAGTCTGTTACAGAAGGTTTTAAAAGTGGTTTACACTAAAGTTACAGGCCATCATTTAAAAAATGGTGAGAACAAACCTTTATCTCTCTTTCTATCACCTTTATCTTCCTCTTCTTTTATTAAATTACCATGTAGAAAGAAAGAAACCCTGACCTTGCCATTGGCTCTCTTTCTCTTGTATCAAAGGTAATCTACCATTATCTGTGACAGAGCATTTTTCTCTCATGAGTAAGTGGCCATAAAAGTTTTGTTGATCCAAATGAGATCTGAAAGTGGTATTTTTTGGTCATCATGGTCATTGCTGGTGAGTTTTTGCACAGCACTTCCCAAGCATCATTTGTCAGTCTTAAAATGGGCCCAGTACTCTGCCACTGACTTCCTCAGATTTTCTGGTGAGGTTTGATTTTTGATGTTGGAAACTCATCACATTGTCTGGCCAGTTAAGGTAGATATCAGTGCTCTTAACTACAAATTTCTACCATGTATTTTTGCTGCCACACATGACTTCCTATGTGTCAAAGAATGTTTTTGCAGGAAAGATCTAAAAATCTATGGGTGTAAAATATTTTGATACTCTAAAAAATATATATTTTTCCATCCCCCTCTCTGTCTCTGTAGATTGGAAAGTCCATCATATGAGGTGATGCAGCTGGACTTTGAGGTGGATAATGTCATCAACCTGGTGCCGACCCAGACTCTGCACTGGAACGTCGAGTACCCAGCTGGAATGCAGACAACTTCCAGGCAAACAGAGAAAGTCTCACACCTCTACATCAGCAACGCCGACATACAGGGAATCGTACCGCTGGCTGAGGTAACGGATGACTCAATAAATGGGGACAGATACAGATATCTGTGAGCATACATATTGACATACCCAGCAGCATTTCTTATGCTGGAATAGACTCCCATGTTTCCCTCCATTTCCCTCCTCCTCCTAACCTTCTTGCTGACACCCCCTGCCCATCCCTTTCCTTCAGGTTGATCAAAGCTTTAAAGGTCAGCTTGTTTACCCCCTCCTGTTGCTACAAGCCTCCTGGTCACACACACACAGCAGGTTTCAATCTCACAGTTTTCAAAATGACAAGCAGCCTCACAAATATGCACCCACACATGTACATTTGCCTCTTTAGGACTCAAATGGCTGCTTTCCATAGAGACCCCAAACCTTCATTGTATCAGTATCTAGACTTCAGTGTAACTTTGAGAAGCACTGACACATAACCAAAAATAGTTTAGTGCACAACAAAAGGAATACAAATTGAAATGTATAGTATTTGCATACTTATTCTTGGCAGGTGGGATGGAATAATGATGTGATGTATACCAGTAACAACTCAATAATGCAGCTTATCTGAGACAGTAGCTAGCACTTGCTTTGCAAGGCATACACTTATTATTATTAATACTAATAATATACCCATATCATTACTTATATAAGGCCAACAAACAATGGCAAAACATCTAATGCTGTAAAGATAATGTAAAGCATGTTTTGATTATTACTCTTACCCTTTCTTTCATATAATTTTCTTTCCTTTTCTCTTTTGCTATATAAAGACTTTATGATCAGTTTCAATTGGATTTGAAACTGAAAAAATCTTGAAAGGTTGAAAGGTTGGTGAAAATGGCTGCAGCACATAAAAATAACAACTCAGTAAAATAAAATAAAACTTACATTTTCCAAAATGTAAACATCTATGCAGTTTATGTTGTATATTTTGCTGCATGCTGAATACAGGGTTAGCAGAAAAAAGTATTTTAGCCACATACAAACAACATACAACTCCCACCTTAAAAAAATAAATATCAGTTTAAGTGTGCAACATATTAGAGGTTTCCTCAGCCATTCCATATTCATCTGCAAAAGTCCTTTGTATAGGCTTTATGAAGGTATTGTCTATCCTTTGTCCATGGTGAAAGGCATTTCGTCTTCGCTGTCATAATGATTTATTTTAATTTTCTGGTATTTGTTTTTTCTTCCATAAACCGCTGTAACTTTGATCCTAACAGCTGACTTGCAGTGCAACATGTCATGCACGGCAGAGTTGGGCTTAGGCACAGGAATACAGCAATTGTAGGTTGAGACAGTGTAGTGCCAAAGGACAGGACTGTCTGAGGGCAAGGTAAAGCTGTGAAAATATCCTCAATAAAGAGTACACTTAAACTGATGTTAATTTTTTAGGTTGACTAAAATGTGTTTTCCTGCCGACTCTGTATTCAGCAGTGCACTGCTAACACTCCCTGTTGGGTCTCCAGTCTGCTTCTCCGAACTGGGGGTGCACTGACCTCCGTCTACTGCAGGCAATACGCTGACTATGGATAAGTGTATCATATAAAGTTAAGAAAAACTATCCCTTTAAGGGAAAAAAATAAATGTGAAGCTTTCTGTCTGGAAAAGAGAGCAAACCTTTGCATAAGACTGATGACTTTGGACTTGTACTTACTTTTATTAGACAGGGTCAGGTGGAGAAAATCTCCTTAAAAGATTGTTTAAAAAGCCTGCTTAAGTCTGTGACATTTCTAATCAGATAAAATATCACCATTACTTCATACATTCACAGATCAAAACAGACGCATCTCAAAGCAGACGTCGCTAGTCTGGCTAAAGCAACCACGACCCTTAGGCTAAAAAGTGAGGAGAAGGATGCTTTTCAAAATACTCCCAGTTCCATTACCAGTGAGGTAAAGCTAATCTGGCCTCATAGCCCTCCTTCAAACAGCAAAGCCCTAGTGAGAAAACCCAATTTTGTTCAGGGCTTTTGCAAACCCTGTCTTTTTCACACACTGGAAAAAAGCAAGCTTGAAACCATCATCTCAGTGCTGTTCGGATTTTGCTAGCTTTTTTTTAAGGAGGCAGTGTGAATGGAGCTCAGAGATGAGTAATGCTACATCTCATCCCTCTGTATTTTAACTGTATTCTAGAAGTAATTAAATGTATTTTTCAGTATAAACGCTCACGGATATTAGTTGAACGTTTAGATATATGTATATGTGACCCTTGAGCTTTTGATGTATTAATTTAAAATCTTTCTGTTTGTGTCATAAATTATTACATTGACAGTATATGAGAATGTGTATTTAACGTTAGTTTGATCCACCCCTAACTTGACAGCTTCGAAACCCTTCAATTATTTTGTTTTTACACAATATAAAACTTTACACATTTCTTTGTTCCATCTCTTCTGTGGATTTGTTATACATGGCAAAAATAAAAACCAACATAAAGTGGCCTAGTGAGGTGTTGGGCCACCACAGGCCTCTATAACAGCTTCAGTGCACCTAAGCATGTAGATTGTACAAGTCTACTGTGGGAACAAACATTTCTCTGCCCAAAGATATTCCCTCATTTTCTGTTATGATGACATTGGTGGAGAATGCTGTGTGGCACATCTAAAATCTACCATAGGTGTTAAGTGGGGTAGAGATCTGGTGACTCAGAATGCCATAGTGTGAGTCACAATTTTTATCATCAAACAATTTAATGACTCCCACTGCCCTGCATGGAAACAACTGCATTTGTTTTTTCCACTTATTTGTTAAGGCTTTTTGTTTACTTTGTTTATTTAAATAATTGATTTGTATTTGTGCTTACATCAATTGATTTTTACCTAGATGTTTTGCCCCAAAATATATCTATTGACATTGCTAATATGGCAACCTCCTGTCTCGTGTTATCATTGACTTTTTCATAGTTTAAGCAAAACAAACACTTTCCCTCATCTTAATCAAGGGCTTGAAGTTGCCCAGACACAATGCACTGTATATGTTATATGTTATATCAGGCTTAAGTCCTGTGTTTGTTTGAGCCATTGATCCACCCAACCAACATCATATGTGGACTTTCTTGCTTTTTAAAGTACTTCACCTTACTTTGACAGCATGCACGTCCAGAAATAATGGGGCCACTGACCAAGCTGCAGTATATGTCAACTTGGCAGTGAGAACGGATTGCACAAAACACATATCTTTGTATGCACACACCTACACATCTAGTTTCACTTTCTCTCTCTCCATCTCTTTTTTGCCCCACTACTTTGGGTAAAAGCATCAAAATGGCTGCTATTACAAGTCATTTGGGCCTCCTGATTTGTTTACCGGAACTGCTGACCAGGTGTTGATTGTTGGTTGGTTGTTTAATGCGTCTGTCACTGAGAGGGGTCTCTGTGATATGTCACCGAGATGAAAGCTCCAACATTTTTCGGTCTTTTGGCGAAAGGAAGGAAGGAGAAATGAAATTATGAGCTGGGATCTTCAAAGGGAGCTGGATGTAAAAGCTTTCACAAAGTCTTGCATCCTCCTTCCTAAACACTCCACATCTGAGGATTGGAACAAATGTGCAGTAAATCATGTAACGAAATGTGGGATCTTTATAGTTGTTACATATTTAAACGGCCTAAAAACTAAGGCTCACATATAATTGCATCAGGAGCACTCAGCACTGGCTTTTAAACATTTTCTCTGTCTGATCTGTTTGGCTGATTCAACTCCACCTCAGCTATCCTCTACCATCTCCCAAATCAAAAGTCATCTTATCAACAGTACTGATGTGGTAATGCAGCGGGTTCTCTCTTCACAAAGCAACAATGAAAATCCGAACACTGCCTCTCATTACCAAACCCTCTCCGTCATTTTCCGTCTAATTCCGCATATCCATTAAGGTTCTGGTCTCTTGGCTGAGCGGGAAAGAAAGAGGCCCTCTTCAGGAAACGAGGGATTATTAGGAGTAATTTGTCTCCTGCGGGAGCTGAAAAATTGGTTTCATCTTTTAGAGAGGAGAGAAGAGGTGAGGAGAGAAGAGGAGAAAGAGTTAGGGAGAGAGGGAGGGGGAGACAAAAAGAGAGCCAGAAAGAGACTGACAGAAAGAGACAGGTAAGTGAGATTTTATTGTCTGCTGTATGTGCTTCGTCTTTGCTACCTCTCATTTTTAGGCAATATGAGGATTCAGCTGTTAGCATTAGTCCATACAGTAGCACCATGTCTGGCTCATGATGTCTGCAGATCAAACAAAAATCACAAAAAAGAAACGCAGAACAATATAAGCAATGTAATCTACTACAGTTTTGAACCCTCAACCAGCCAACAAAGGAAAAGGTTATTGCATTGTACCAGATTTCCTCTGCTATGTCATTCCTGCCACTTCCTACTCAAACAAACCATCTATTACCTAATTCACACAGCCTTAGCTGAATTGCAGCATTGGGAATACTGAATTTATTGCCTAGGAAGAACAGTAGGGTGGAGCAGGATAACTGCAAACTGATCAGAGTAGTGACAATGTGAATTTCCCACTCTGAAAACTTGAATTGCAGTCATCTTTTGAAAGGCAACCCACAGCGGCAGCCAGACACTGTACAGAACTGAGTCGGGACCTGCTATTCAAATGTGATGATTCAGTAAGAAACTTTCCTTTTATTTAACCCAGACAGTCCTCTCGAATTTGATTCTCAAAATGTTTTAGGAAGGAGACAGGCCATAAACTTGATGAAGCTCGATTCATTTTTAGACAGCAGTTTAAAACAGCTAAAGCATTCATATAGTTTCCAGTTAATCCACCACCATTTGCCTCACTCAATGAACAATTCCACTATTGGCTCTAAATACAATTTTTTTGTCCCGCCCTAACTATATTCCTATTGGACAGTCTGTGAATTTTAGTTAAAGATTATATTCCCATTGACTAGGGCTATCCCAGAGTCTGAAAAGGCCTCAGATTATGTCAGTATTTTACTAAATGGGATATAAAAAATTGTATTTGTGCTAGTTGGATAGTTTAATAGAGGCTTATAAAGTGGTAGAGACAGAATTGGACAT